TTCACGTTATTTCAATGTCACAGTCAAATAAATCTATAGTGTGAACGAGGCTAAAAGGTGTTGGTCAGTGAAGACATTACATTATTTGGTTGATAACTAGAAGACAAAGGGCAGAGCCTACACATACAGCACGTGCATAGTTTAGTTGGTGAGCTGTAGAAAGCTGACAACATAAAATCTGACAGTTTTATTTGACTCCAGACAGCAACGCCATTCCCTCGAAGATAAGTGTTTGACTTTCATTCTTGTATTGATCGTACTGATATTAGCTGAAAGCTAAGACATGTGTGGCCTGTTTCTATGGAAGCTTGTATTCTCTTCACTTCATAAAACCCAGTGATAATCCTTAATTAGTCTAATCTCATCCTTTTTCCCAGTATCTGGCCTTGCCAGAGACCACAGTGGGACGCTATGCATATGTCTATAACCGTGCCGAGAATGGCAGCGCCCTCTTTCTCTGCCAGCAGTACTACAAGAAGGGACACATCGACCCCGCCAACGACACGTTCAGCATAGACCCCCGTGTCATCAAAGGTAGGCAGCGTGAACTACACTGTACAAAAGAACAGTCTGTACAGCCTGCAGAGTCCTCGCCTCTGCAAACTGCTAATGTGTGAAATTTTTTTCTCGATGTGACAAGACGTTGGTTCTGTAAAATGACAGTTCACGTTTACTGGTGGCGGGTTGCATATGAAGAGTTTTTGCCTTTGTGTACCAAGTAGTTCAGCTGAGAATTTTGTCAAACACTCAAAGAAATGAAATCTGGGCTCCCACTTTACAACAATGCAAGAAAAATGCAGAGATTACTACAGAGAGAGAGAGAGAGAGACCAGATTAAAAAAAAAAAATTCTTCTATGGAAAGTGGTTAGGGGCAGGATTTCACACATATTAGAGGTCAAGCAGAGTGTGGTTATTTGCAAAAAGTCCCCAGTTGCATTTGTTGCATGAGGTGGGCATCACAATGTGTTCTGTCACTTTAAAAGGAAAAGTCTGACTCAGAGGAGCAGCTGTATTACAGAGCAGTACATTCCCCACAGATTTCAAATAATTACGTTAAATGACTAATGTCTTGTCATTTTTGTCAAGTCATGACTGGTCAATAGATCATAACAGGCTCAACTAATGGTATTTTGGATGTAATAATATGCAACGCAAAGAACTTTCTCTCTCCAAAGCAGAATTTGTTTATCTTGTCGACAATGCAGCCAACTCTTTGGGATTCAGTTTCAAGAAATAAAGTGTTAAATTACAGAAAGTCTATTTTTTTTGTTGATTTACAGAAAACATTCTTTGTCGACCAACTATAAAAACGGAAATCTATAGTAGATTTTTTT